ATTTAATATAATTCTATTTTATGTTGAATGACAGCTGAGAATCAATCTGAAAAGCAATTTCTGAAGTGGTTAATAAACAAAATAAACTCTCAGGACTCTCATATAAAACACAATGAAACATTTTATACAAATTCTATTGAAAAATGAAGACACCAAATGTTCTCTGATTTCGTAGAATAAAACCTTTTTAATCTTAATTAAAGAAGCTCACCTCACTTACAGAAATAACGTTAAACACAGAAAACTGAAAGTCATCCCAAACCTGGAACACTTTGTGTGTAAAATCATTACTTGTAAATTCATAGATGAATAAAAACATTAAAGTGATGGTTTGTTTTGTTTTAGATTGAGGTCTGTGGATGGGGTTATTGGTAGTAAGTATCTGGCCTGTTGCAGATAAATATCTTTGTAAACTAATTATTAAAAAAGTGACTTTTTTTCTTTTTTGAGGGATTTTAGTCAAATACAAAATCTCTAAATTAAAAAAATGTTATGTGCTGGTGATTTATAATGCTTAATTTATTGATTTACAGATGTTAACTTTTACTTTAATCTGAATAAAAAGTTCCTGAACATTAAATATGTCAAGTAAATAATAAAACCAAGATGATGAGAAAGTCAGAATGTAAGTCTCACTGTGCAGGTCKAAGGGGTAAATAAACAATATTTGCATTTCAGAACATTGCACATTTCTTTAGCTAATGTGTGACTATTGTGCTTCTTTTTATACATAAGTTACTATACAGGTAAACTTACATCATGCAGTATTTAGGAGTAATAATAAAAATAACCAAGGTTAGATCYGGGGAAATGTCAGCATTTGAGATTATCTGGAATATCTGTCATCGTCTGACATGAAGTACGGGTTGGAGTTGCCTTGTCTCTGAGAGTACGGGTTGACGAATGAGCTCTGGCCGTAAGGGTTCTGCTGGGGTCGATTCTGCTCGTAATGATTGGTCTGGGGTCGAGACTGGCCAAATTTGAACGAGTCWTCTTGGTCTTCATTAATCCACTGCAGCGGAGAAAAGCAAAAAGAATCCACTGAGATGCTTTTGAAGCGACAGACGTTGGGTGATGAGTTTCAGACTCACGCACGCACTCACCCCGTTCCTCCCCGAAGGAATCAGGTTTTGACGACTGTTGCTCGGCACCATCTCCAGGTTGGTTCTGTTGTCCCAGTTGGAGCCACCTGTGGCCCGTGGGATACGGGGTATGGCAGTGGGGGCTGCCACACCACCAGCTGGCCCTCTGGAGGAGCCCGACATGCCGTTGGGAACGCTGCTGTTAGCTGCTGGAATCTTGGCAACAGAATGGCTCACGTAGGGTTTTCCAATGTCCTCGTTCGTGTTTTTCTTGGAGACTTTCTTTTTTATTCTAGAAAGAGTGAACATGACATTCTCCTGTAAGATATTTAACTTTATTTACAAGTATTTTTGGTAACACTTTATAATAACTACACCCTATTTAGCCTTAATTAATCATTAATAAAGGTTCCTTAACCTTGAAAACATCATTAATTAAGGATGATTCAGACTTAATAAGCTATGAATTAACACATTTATTAATGCTTACCCATAAAGGGTAATTACTTCTAAAACAAACATACTCATTTTTTACTCATGCTTAATAACTCATGAGTTAACTATTCTATTTACTGTGTGTGTGTGTGTGTGTATATACATACATACATA